CGGTGGCCGTGCCCGGGCCCGGTACGGGGGCAACACGGGGGGTTGGGATCCGTTGCCGGACACGGAAAAAGACAAAAAAAAAAAAAAAAAAAAGAAATAAGGCATACACTCATACGTCTTCTAGGAGGCCTTTAGTAGGTGGGAGTGGCAATTTGAGTCAAATCTGGTGAATAGGAAGTCCCAGAGTTTCATTAGGATGCATTGGTCATGCAGATGGAGTTGTTTTCTGGGAATTTCACAGCCAAGAGGGAGAAGAAACTGAGAGCAACACATTTAACATTGGCCATTGAGATGTATTAGGAGCAAGAGAGACTGGCAGCAAGGAGACCAATTGGCTTTTGCAACAATTCAAATGGCACAAGCAACAGTTTATAAACTATGCACTGACAAGTGAAAATAGCGAGAAGGCGTTCACTACCAGAGAAATTTTAGAAGCTGGAATTGGAAGTATTTGTAGTGGTTAGCTGTGAGATGATACAAGGAGTCACTTGAGCTGGAGGTTCCTGCATCAATCAGCTGTGTGACTGGGGTTTCTATTCTGAGATCTGGCATAGACCAGTGCCATTTCAAAAGAAAATATTTGGTTCCAATGGGGTTGTCAGTTTTTTATCATCATTATTTTATTTAAAATGAATGAACTACTTTTTAAACCAAAAATATGAGGAAAAATAACCTCAGACTGAAGAAAGGGCAGTGCTTTGAATTGAATGCATACATGGAGCTTCACTGCACTGTTAATGTTTCTCATCTCACTGCAGACCGGTGAGAAATCCATCACTTCTTCACCATGAGAAATACTAGAGTAGGGAATGCACGAAAAGAGTCAGATTTTGGGAGAAGAATTAAGATGCCTGGATAGTAATAATAATAATAATAACCAGTATTTATTGAGGATTTATTGTGTGCCAGGCACTGTTCTATGTGTTTTGCATGTATTAGCTCATCAATACTAAGCTGTATCTGGGGCCGGCCCCGTGGCTTACTTGGGAGGGGAGAGTGTGGCGCTGGGAGCGCTGAGGCCGTGGGTTCGGATCCTATATAGGGATGGCCAGTGCGCTCACTGGCTGAGTGTGGTGCGGACCACACCGTGCTGAGGATTGCAATCCCCTTACCGGTCAGAAAAAAATAAAATAAGTAATAATAATCATAATAATACAGTACTTTAATTGAAGTCTAAGCAAATTATTTGGGGAGTGCAGTGTGAACTGGTAATGAACTCTGAAAGTAACAGTGAAGACTTGTTCAAGAAATATCATTTCATCTCAACTTTAAAAATGAGTAAAATTTCAGACTTTTGTGCTTGTCTATATTTTGTCATTTTCAGTGAGTTTGTGGTGCTGCATTCCAAACTGAAGAAGCCTGTAAGCACCTGATAGTTCTTGCTTCTTATGGAAACCAGTTCTGCTTCTTTCACATTAAAAAACTAAAGAACACAACAAAAAGCTAAAAGTTGTGTCAGTGGGTTAACATTTAGAGAGAATGCTGCTGGAATGTTGCACTAATTCACTTGGGAAACTGTTAGGATGGAAATTCCAAGTGGCTAAAAATTTCCTTGTTAGCCTGTGTTGAACAGGAGAGTGAAATTTAGGATACTTTTTCTGAACAATTACAGGGATTGAGTTATTCAGCTTTCCTCATTATTCGTGGTAACAGTAACTTCCTTTGTTTACTTTCAGTTTACATTTCTTTGGAACTACAGTTCATAGTGATGGATTGTTTTAAATAATTTTTTTTTTTTTTGTCTTTTTCCGTGTCCGGCAACGGATCGCAACCCTCAGTGTCGCCCCCGTACCGGATCGGGACCGGAAACGGGATCGCAACCCTCAGCGTTGCTCCCGCGCCTGGCTCAGCCAGTGAGCGGGAACCGGTCTGTATGCGGGATCCGAACCCTTGGGCGGGAGCGCCGCCGCGCTTCCCAAGCGGCGCACTATCCAGTGCGCCACCGGGCCGGCCCTTAAATAATTTTTAAGTCATTTAAAATTAACTTTTAGGGAGAGCTTGAAATACAGTGAGTAAAGAAAGTGTTTTAGCTTAAATCCTCACCAATTAAATGTCATCTCAGACTGCAGTCTTTACGTATCAATCAGGCTGTTAATCCTTAAGTGCAGGAATAGAATATTTCTTCAAATCCAGTAATGTTATATCGTGCAGATAAAAAAGTTTGTATAATTGATGTTTCAACAAGTTTTAATTAAATGTTTTATTGGATTAGGCCTCCTGACCCAAAGATTGTGTTTTAATGTAATGCTTTTTCCTGTTTTCACCTGGATTCAATGAAATGTTATTTGTTTTTATTTACCAGGAAAGACCGTTGTTTACCTTGTGGCTTTCCATCTGTTCTTTGTTATGTTTGTATGGTCCTATTGGATGACAATTTTCACATCTCCCGCTTCCCCCTCCAAAGAGGTAAATTTAATGTTGGTAAATTACCAAATGCTTTAACTGATTATGGAATTATTTTCCCTTGTGTTACCTTTGTTAAAACTTTACATAATGCATTTGTTCTGTTTCCATTCACAAAATTGCTTGGTAACTCCATATTGCGAATGTGAACCATCAGCCTCTTCTCAAATATAATCCACGGACATAGCGTAGTAAAAGTTTAGCCATGCTAATGCTTTTCTGCCATGCTGTGTTTTCTTAAATTAAAGACATGCTTTATATTACTGGGGTAAAAAGTCTTAAAGGGCAGAATTGAAGTAGGGAAGTAGAGTTTACTTTTAGAAGCCGTCTTAACACATGTTTTTTCAGGCATGAACAAGTAATGCTGCAACTAAAGAAAATGTTTTGGTTGTGGGAAACAAATTTTCTAGGCTATTGCTTGCTACACCTTAATATGACTAGTGCTTCTTCTCATTGGAGGTTCCATTTGGAAAATAATGTAGGTAAATATTTATGTGGAGTAAGTTTTACAATCAGTATGTCTCTCTTGCCTTCTTGATATAGCCAACTGAATTCTTCCTTAACTGAAAATTTAGCAAGATGATTAAGAATATATTCTCTAAAGTTAGTGTTGTCTGAGTTTTATTTTCTCATCTAACACATTATTTGATCTCTCTGAGCTTTAGTTTTCTCATCAGAAAATGGAGCTAACAATTGTGCCTGTCTTTGTTGGGTGTTTGTGTGGATTGAGATTTGTCCAAGTAGAGCTTTCAATATATTACCTGCCACATGGTTAACACTCAAATAGTAGATATTGATATAATATATATAATTAACGATATAGTTGTTTCCCTTCATGTTAAATTTATCGAAATTCATTAAAATTATAGACCATGTTTAAAAATAATATTATCCTCCATTTAACTTTCTAATGCAGAAAATGTGCAAAAAACAAAAAAAAATGCCGAAAAGTATATATGTCATAAGTGTAGACCTGATGAAATATCACAAAGCAAACACACCTGTGTAAGAAGAACTGAACATCGTTCAAGAAGCAGAACATTACCAGCACCCCATTAATCCCTCATGCTTCCTTCCAGTCACCCACTTCATGAAAAACACTCTCCTGCCTTCTCACAGCATTAATTTTGCTTGTTTTTGTCCTTAATGTAAACGGAGTCATATGGTGGTATATATAGTTATAGTCATATAGTAGTCATAGTTGTATATGATGTGCGTCTGGCTTCTTTCATTAACATCCTATTGTGAGAGTTCATTCATATTGTCGCATATAGTTGTAGATAATTCATTCTCATTACTATTCATTGTTTGCTTGTGGTATGTAACACTGTTTACCGGGTCCACTGTTGATGGGCATTTGGGGAGCTTCCAGTTTAGGGATGTTACAAATATGGCTGCTGTAAACATTCTACTGCATCTCTCTTGGGGAATAATATACGTGTAATTCTTTTGCGTACAGAACTGTTATATCACATGTTATATGTATGTTCAACGTTAGTAGATAATGCCACACAGTCTTTTGCCCATTTTTATAATGGATGCTTTTGTTTTAAGAGGTCAAGTAAACCATAAATCAAACTTAGTATTTCTTCAAATATATTCTTCAGGCATTTGGTAATAATTAGTCAGCCCTTAAAGTTGTGTTAAAAACTACCATCCATTTCTTAATCTCTAAGTTGAAAAGGACCTAGTTTTATTTAATCAATTGCTAGTAGTAATGGCTATTGAAAACATAGCATGTGTAGAAACTAAGAAGTTCTCATTACAGGAAATAAAAAATAGAATAAGAAGAACAATTGGTAATATGTTTGAGGAGCTGTATAATGTAGAGTTTAAGAACCAGATGTTAGAGCCAAACTGCCCAGGTTTAACTCATACCTCTGCCACTTCCTAGCTGTGTGACTTTGGAGACTTTCTGTAGCTGATTTCTTCTCCATAAAGTGAGGGTAATAGTAGTACGTACTCCATGGGATTGTTGTAAGGATTGAATAAGTTAGTAATGTGTGTAATTGATCATGTATATGTAGTTATACATAGAACTGATAATATATTTAAAGTGCGTAGAAGAATTCCTAGCACATAAGTACCATCACTTCTCTGGTTATAATCCTGCAGAGGTTGATGATCAGCTGCAAGATAAAGATCATGCTAATCTGCATGGTACGCAAGATTCTTCATGAACTGAAATCTTGCTGACTTCGTCTCCATTGCTGCCTCATGGCGCTCTCTACTCACTGTGCTGCCCTGAACACACCATCTTATTTTCATATCCTCGTGCTTTCCACATGTTATTCCCTTTGCCAAGTTTCTCTTTCCTTCTTTGTCTTTCTGGAAAATTCCTGTTTATCTTTCAGAGCCTAGCTTCGGTACCACTGCTCCAGTAAACTTTCACTGACAGCTACCACCACCTCCCAAGAGAGCTTTTTATCATGCCTTCTCATGCACTGTTAATGTTGTCCTTATTATGCTCATTTGTAGTTATAATTCTCTGTTTACATGGCTAACTTTTTGACTGTAGGAATGTACTTTTTGAAGGCAAGGATTTGTTTTTATTCATCTTTGGGTTTTGTATCTGGAACAGCCTCTAGCACTTAATTTGTATTGAATAAATATTTAAATGGAACAATTTGAACACTGAATTTAAGATAATAATAGCATTTCCTACTTTGAATTCTGTTCAGTAGTTTTGAATAACAAGTAGACTTTAGTACTAATTTTGAAAGTCTGATCCACTTTAATTTTTCTTTTGTTCCATTCGTCTTCTAAAACACCAGTGTCTCTTGAATTTTTTTACTTGGCTTAAGCTTTTCATAATTTTATAACCTTAGTTCTTAGAGAAAAGTAACAATGTTGAGTAGAAGTAGAGAGATCAGGCTGATGAGGTCTGGGAGACTACCACGGGCTAGGAATAGCACAGCCCAGGTAAAGCTGTTGAGATTTTACAAGGAAACTGTAAAATTTGATCAGAACATCTCCTGTCCAGATATATATGGAACATTATACCATGTGATGTTTATACTCTACTGATGAATGTTTTAGAGACATGTCATGTCAGGGAAAAACTGACCAAAAAGTTAAAATTCTCTAGAAGAGAATGAACCATCCTGCAAAGTAGAAAAATATTTCTATACCTGAAAGTATTCACAAGGGGATGGATCTGTTCTGAACATCTGAAGATCCCTGCCTGTGGTGAGAACTTAGATAAGTGACCTCCAAAATCTTTGAGACTTCCACCTTTAAAATTATGTCAATCTTTTCTGACTTCTTTCTATCCTGTTCATTTGTCTGTGTTGCTGTTTCTTCCTTTTATGAGGGTGCTTCAGAAAAGTCATGGAAAAATGGAATTAAGAGATAATGTGAATCTTATCATGAACTTTTTGAAGACCCCTCATAAGTAATTTCCAGGTTTCTTGTGCCATCAGAATTTGGGTTTGGAAGCCAGGCTAGGTAATCTAAATAGACTCTTCTTCTGCTTTCTAACGATGATGTTTTAGTCAGGTTAGAGGAACTGTCTGTAAAAAGCAAGAACATTTATTTTATGCTAGCAATATAGAGGAAAATACACTAGAGTAGAACACAGAAGACTGTACTTTAAAATCAGCTCTGCCAATAATTCTGCAATCTTAGAAAAGTCCCTAAGCCCCTTGGAATCACACTTAGCTCAACCCAGAACTCTGTTTGCTATGCCAAGCGGTTGCCTTGTTCATAACAGAATAAACTACATTTTAAAGTTAACACTGTCAGCAATGATGGTGCAGCAAGAATAGGGGAAGTTTTTGGTGTTTGAGTTAGCAGGTAGCCCAAAGTACTCCTTACATATGAAAAGATAAAATTTCAGTCATGATTCCTTAGGACTTTTTATTTTTTATTTTTTATTTATTTTTTT